AAAAAAAAAAAAAAAAAAAAAAAAAAAAAGGAAAGAAAGACAACGGTAAAGACTTCTGAAATTGAAGTGAAAAGTAAAATTTTTTTTCTCAATTTGTAGAACTATCGTGAAAAATTTGTCGACTTATGCGGTAAATTGAACTGTTTCTGATACGTTGCTCTTAGATGTTTTCAATGCTTTATTTGCTGACCATTCAACAGATTGGACGTTGTAATTGATTAACTGTATTTGTTGGTTTTTTTTAACAACAAATTCTTTTTGAAACTTATTGTTGCACTTCAAACTTCTTTTACATTTTTTGTTTCCTTTTTTTTTTTCTCTCTCTCTCATTTGCACAGATATATGTGTTTGCTAAAAACATAAACAGAAAAAAGCAGAAAAATTTTGGTTTTTTTTTTTTCTACAATTGACAGGTGTAAATCAAAAGAAGAAAAAAAAAAAAGAAAGAAGAACTGTGTCTTCGTTATTGTTTTTTGCCTTTGATCAACAGCGACAATTTCTTGACCTATTTCAGAGTTATAAGATAATAGGCTAGTTACCTGATATGACTTTTTTTTTCTAAACATTTTTCTTCGTTTTTTTTTGACTTGTACAATATTAGTGAACATCCCATTGTACCCATTGTAATGTTATGTACACAGAATAGTTGCTATTGCTGACAGTTTTGTAGATAATTTTTGGCCTATAAATAGGCAAAAAAAAAAAAAAGAAAAAAAAAGAAACAGGACAAAAACTTCAAAGTTTCTAATGATGAAAGTTGTTGTGAAAAAGCTATATGTTTTTGTTGTCTCGATTTTTTTTTTCTTTGCTTTTGTTTTTTGATTGTTAACAACCAAAGAAGAAAAACAAAAAGACAATAATGAGAAGCATTTAAAAGTATATTTATGTTACTGATTTCTGCTATCTGTTCCCTCCTACAAGTAGCAGCTACGTTTGACTGAAGAATTTCAATTTGTCCTCTACTTCTTCTTTAGCATCTTTTCCAATTCCAAACGATAAACTTTCAAATTTCAAATTCTGCTGTGTTTTGGGTTCTTTGCATATAACGTACAATTTTATGGCCAATGACTTTGGCTCT